TCTTTCATTGTCGAAGACCCGTCATAGGTTCGTATTACATTTTTATGTATTTAGTGGAATTCATCTAGAAGTTTGTCATTAAAAGTTCAGATAATTTATATTTATTCATAAATGTCAAACTCTGATTGGATGATTACCCTTTTGTTATTAAGGTTAGTTTTATCCCAGAAACTTGGAATATCCAAGTCACAGATAAATCTATGATTACCCTTATTTTCTTCGCCTAAACTGAATTTGGATGTTGAACTTTTTTTCATATTTTCCTCTTTTTGTGTTTGGCTAAAGTCACTGTCAAGCGTTGAGGTACTAAACTTGTCAATCTTATTGATAAGTCTTGCCAATTGAAGGCTATACTTGGTTCCTATACTATTCTCGTAACCCCCAAGCTAGAACTGCACACTGACCTGAACACGAGAGAAAAGGCCCAAAATATGCGAGAAGCACTTTACTCCAGAAGTTCGTTTTAGTACAGAAAACATCACATGATGGAGATTCAAAAAATACACGAAATTAGTTACATAGTACTAGAAAAATTGTAGTAGTATAGCTCTATATCTTTATTAATTAAGACAACTTAAAGTCGGCCAAGATAAGTATGTCATTTCAGATTAATATTCTTAATTCACAAACAATACAGTCATAAGCAAGTAGTCAAATATTAAGCAGAATTTAACATATAGATCATAAGATGAACAATATTATGGGAATTAGGTAAACTGAGGATGAATTTCTTAATGGTAAAAGTGGTTTAATGATTCTTACCAGATCATGGGAGTGGTGAATTTCTTCAAATAAGTGAATCTTTCCATTCACCAGCTCAATAAGTGAGCGAAATCTACTTTAAACTTACTGAATTTCTTTCTCTCTTATTTGATCTTTTTTTGGTATCATGTTATGCCATCAATAGTGTTATTAGTCTATGTTATTTCACAGATTGAAATCATGAGTCAATTGAAGCTAGACCACCATGGAAAACCTGGAAGCACTGGACGGTCGTTCCGTCCTAGTATGGGACTCCTCAGCAGTGCGCATCCACGGGCCCACCCCTTCCCGCGAGATTCGAACCCAGGATCTATCAGTCTCGCGCCAGGCACTTAATCAACTAGATCAACTGAGCTGCCATCCAACGGTGTTAATGTATAATTTCAACCAATCCACGAAGTTGCACCACCGTACACCATTGTCTATGCTATTATCAATCATTTCTGGAACTTGTCACGTATGGGGTTTCCAGAATTTAATAGAACTGCTGATCACAAACAATTACATTTTATACGAATTTTTTGTTTATTTTCATACTAGTAATTGCGTTTCTTTGTAATTTTTACTAACAAAACTTTATTCATACTAGAAGGCTCTCTAATTCAAATCTATAAATTAGAGGATAGTACAAGGTCGTGTGAAACAGATACTAACAACTCATAAAGTAAAAAAAACAGTCACACTGTGTTGTAATCTAGTTCTCATGCATTTTTTGAATAATGCCCACCCATTTAAATGGATCCTTTAAAGAAATTATATATTCAATGGTACCTCACGAATAGACATTTTAAAACTTTATCTCTTATTACCAATATAGGTGGTTTGTACATGTTGTTGAATCATGTAGTTTAGATCATGAACTGACATTAGTTGAACAATAATCGGAAACCAGGAAACACTGGACAAAAATTTCAACCTAGTACGGAACTCTTCAGTAGCATTCACCTACACTTTACTGGGGATCAAACTCAGAATTTTTGGGTTAAAATCAACATCGGCAAGGCTTGGAGTCAAGTGTTGACAAAGACTTGTTTGACTCTAATGTTGAGATTTATCAACAACGCGTATTTGCAATCTTAGAGAAGTGGATGCTGTATCAGATACGTAAATGTTTATCATTCATCAGGTCAGACATATTATGAATGAATGACTTGAAATTCAAATTACGTATTTTCCAATCGAGACAACCAATTATATGGATCTGAATATTTACGAAAGAATTATTCTTTGATGAGCTCGTCAATAAAAACTTGAACTGGTCAGGATTACTCAGTATTATGTTTAAGATGAACTAAATACCAATTTTTCAGTTTATTTTCCTCATTTACTTATTACTGATTACAATTAGAATATTAGATTTAATTTAAACAAAAACCACAATAAACGGAATACACCTATTAAGACATTAAATAAGAAAGATTACATGTTAGTTCTGCTTCTAGTATTGTGCGTATATAATCATAAACTACTTGCTAACTTTAGATAGCTTATTATTAATCACCTTAAAATATGTAGCTTACATATCGGTTTATAGTAATGACTTGCTTACTCCCGTTTCAGGTGGAGCTTTATCGTGATATTTTGATATTTATAAGTGTTACATGTATTCTTGACGTTCGATTTGCTTTATTACTGTAATGGTTTCCCTTAAAGTTTCAAGAAGTTTTTCTTCGTTTCTTACGTTGTTCATTGATATTTTGTTTATTTGTAACAACTCAATTTCATGTCCTATGACCCGCTTTTCACTTTGTTGACTGCTATTATTTATTTAACATAGTCCTGTCTTGTCACTTAACCAATCGTACGTTTTTCCAATTATTTCATATAGTTGATAAAAGGCTTGTCTTCTTGGTCATACCTCGAAACATTGTAAACACCTTAAGTGCCTGATAGTTTGGAGCTTATAAACGTTGATTTTTATATCGTCTTTTATTATTGGTATCGTGTTTTTTGTGAACGAATATTTTGTTTTGATTTCAAAACTTCACGCTCCACCGAGAAGGTTGGTTTGAATCATTGAACTGATTTTATACTATCAATGCTAGCTGAACTATTGAAATGTCAATAAGTTTTCGTTTGATTTCAGTTTTATCAATTTAAATTAGAAACTGGATTACATATACTTACATAAATATTACTTAACGAACAAAGGCGGAAATGGTAACCATAATCAGAGTACAATGCACTGATGATCAATAATGTGTATTCAACTGCAACTTAGACTTCATAATTTAATTTTACTAAGCAGAGGTTTCATATGTAGATATGTGTAAGTAAAGAGAATGTTTTTGATTAATTCATGTATCATAATTATTTGAATAAGACGACAATTGGGGCGAGACTATAATTAATGGATAAACTAATCCGATATACTCTTGGATTTTCGCGTGAAATTCATGAATCCATATGACAAAATATAATTTTAGCATTATAGCTGATGTCAGTTTATGATGAATATCTTGAATGTAATTTCGAAATCCTAACTTTTAACTTTAAATTCTAATCCCGATTCCCCACACACTATAATAATTGGTTGGATTTTCTCAAGGTCACCATAATCTAGCTCAAAGACTGCTTTTAAATTCTAATCTCTCCTTCATCAATTCTAGTTTGCCGTGTTGCTTCACGTTTTTTGTACTAGTTGTATTATTTTTATTTTGAAAACAAACGAAACGTGGACGGTAACATACACTATACGCGTTTTGAGTTTAGTCTTGCCACGACTATAAAAGATAATTTGGAGAATTTCTTATAAATTATATGTGTGGGCAAACTGCTTCTTACATCAATATTTAACGCTCGATATAACTGAACCCCACGAGTCATGACTCTTTACGAAAAATATGGGGATTAACTAACGAAGTTAATCCTTGGTTAGCACATGACTATTATTATTGTAATTGGTTGATAGAGATTGTTGAGTTCGATGGGCGAAATTGATGAGCTTCATACTCAGACGAAACGGATGTCCCATGCTTTCCAGTTGAATTTTATTGTCATATCATTTACTTGTGCGAAAGGACTACCAATTAAAATCGTTCCAACTTTAATTATAGAGATTAACAGTGAAGTAGTCAGTCAGTAACAACGTAGAACTCGTACGCACGTACATCAGTTCGAGTTGCCACACCACCTTAGCACAGAGATGCAGTTATCGATTCAAATTTCGTAGTGGTAGTAAGAGTATAAGCAGTAATCGGGAAGATTAGGGTTTGAAGATGTTATCCAAGGAGTATGATTTAGTGAATTAAGTTTGGAAAAAAATAAAGGACATGAAGAATTCAGAAGATTAGAATTTGGGAGAACACAAAGAGTGGATTCACCCGCGCCATTGCAAACCATTTTGAGCCATGTCATTCAGGGTCTCTGACCATCGATTGCTATCACCTCGCGGTCCCCAACCAGGTGGTCTACACCTACTAATATGACTTTCTACTTGTCAGTGACTTCATGGACTTGTGCCATGTTTTGGTCTGGCCTCCACTACCTTTCTTCTAACCTTCTCTTATACCACTGAACATCGCACATCGAGGCAGTCGGTGGTCGGGCATACGTAACACATGTCTCAGTCATCTCAACTGATGAAGTTTCACTACTTCATCATTTGATTTGCCATTTTTACCTAGTATCCGTTTCCTAACAACTGCGTTACTTACTCGATGGTCCCAGGATATACGAGCAATGTTTCGAAGAAGCCTATGATCAAATACTAGTAACCTACGGATATCCTCTACTCTTACCGGCCATGTTTCACTGTCATAAAATAGGACGGAACGAAATGCTGCGCAGTAAACATGTCCTTTGGTTGATACACGGATATCTCGCCTACGCCATAAATGACGCAAGTTGGCAAAAGCTAGTCGAGCCTTCTGTATCCGTGCTGAGATTTCGTCACACACCAGACCACAAGGGCTGATGAGACTTCCAAGATAAGTGAAGCGATCGACACGCTCAATTACTTCACTCCCTATCATTAGTTCGTGTGTCAATGTAACCCAATCCTGAAGCAACATTTTGCATTTCGAGGGAGAGAATCGCATCCCGAAAATGCTTGCATTGTTGCTTAGAATGGTCAGAAGACTCTGCATTTTGTCAGCGTCTTCATCAAATATAACTATGTCATCGGCATATTCTAAGTTAGCAAGTGAATCTCCCGGTAAAATTTCAACCCTTGGATATTTTGATGAAGAAAGTGTTATCTCTAAAAGCACATCAACGATGAAAATTAAACAAGAATGGAGAGAGTAGACAGCTCTGTTAACAGGATAGTAAGATATTAAATAAATGACAACAATAGTATTAAAGAAACAAGTAAATATATACAGTATTAGAAGTTTATTCCGATTGTATAAAAGATTAATACAAATCAGATTCAGAATTAATCCAATTTGTATTATCAGTTGGTTCATGAATTAAAATATGTTCTGGATGAGAATGCTTTTGTGTAGTTTGAAGAGAAGTGTGATTGTAATCATCTTCATTATTTCGATTATTTATAGACCGACCATTAGTGATTGATTTTTGCTCTTGACTTGAAAAATCTTTATTACATAACTCATGGTTATGTACTCTATCTAAACCATTTACCATAAGATAATGTACAATATAGAATAATAAAGGGATTGGTTGTTCAATTAATTCTGTAGAAGATTTTTGATTATTTAATGGGTTTTCGCCATTATTATTATTATGATGATGATTTTTAGGAATTAACGATTTAATATTTACAGTTGGTTTAATTTGTAGTGTTTGACATAGAAATTGTCTAGGTAAATTATGTAAATTACCATGACCGGACTCCTGACGAAAAACAGATTCTGTAAATGATAAACTGAAAAAAGAATAGAGAGAAATTAAGAAAATAATAAATATATAAACAGTATTATATATATTTTGTTTGTATGTAATAAACTAATGGTATTTCATTGAGATCATGAACCGATTAATGTTAGACCACCGTTGAAAACCTGAAAGCACTGGACGGCCGTTTCGACCTATTGTGGGACTCCCACAAGCCGGATCGTGGATGCGCACTGCTGAGGAGTCCCACAATAGGAAGAAATGGCCGTCCAGTGCTTCCAGGTTTTCAATGGTGATCTAACATCAGTTGGTTCATGATCTCAATCAAAAACTTAACAATCTCCACAACCCCTAAACTGATAATGGTATTTAGACGGTGAAAAATGTTTTTTTTTTCATATTCAAAAGAAAAGTAAATGTTTGACATATTGACTTCATTTACTTGATGTTTTTTGTATGTAAACTGATTTGCGATAGATGGTTGGATACCCTAGACTCTTAGACTTTGTGCTAGCTAGTTAATCATAAAAAAACATTGTTCATTTCCTGTTGAATTAACGCTTTACATGAAATTCGAGCCCATATCATTCAGTTTGATAGTCAGAGAAATTACCACTGAACTATTCATGCCTACAACTGACGTGCTGTAGGATTGTGATTTTTATACTGATGGATCATTGACTAGTGACTAATGTTACAATGTTACAGTCTTTAGTACAAGTTGATTCCTATCAATTATGGTGAATCAACTTTCTATGTGAAGATTAGTAATGTTACTCGATTGAAAATCAAATGATTTACAACCACTGAGCTACTCTATTCCTTTCTACACAAAATGATATATACACTTTTAGTGAATTATCAGACAAAGGCGGATTTCAACCAGGTCTGTTGTGAGATATCAACTCACTGAAGACAGTGATGTACGGTGGCGCAACTTCGTCGATTGGTTGAAGTTAGACATTAACACCGTTGAATCTAGAGGTTAAGAGCTCGCGCGCGAGACTGGTAGGTCCTGGGTTTGAATCTCACTGGGATGGAATCGTGGATGCGCACTGCTGAGGAGTCCCATACTAGGGTGAAACGGCAGTCCAGTGCTTCCAGGTTTTCCATGGTTGTCTAGCTTCAATTGAATCATGATTTCAACTATTGAGATAAATATGTGTGGACATTATGAACGTAGTATCACCAATAATACATCATAAAGCAACAAAAACACACACGATATCTATTTATCAAATTCTGGCACTGGCGATTTGATGACCAATTGAATAAACAAAGTGATAACTTGTTTACACAATCAACCATCAAATCTCAACCAAACCGATTTCAGAACATATAGCCACTGGCCAACTGATTAAGTAAATATTATTAAGAAATCAAAATTATTATGTATCCATAAAATGTTCAACTCAGATCAAAATCTATAAAAGTTGTCAGATGTAATAGGACTGTGTTCATACGCCTCAGAGTTTGTGCTGACGATATTTTATAAGAATATACCTAAATATTTATGATAAGAGAGTTAATAGAACACAAAATTAAAAAGAATATATATAGGCAGTATTTTTGACATTACTTTTCAAAGTTTAAATATTCAATTATTAATTCATTAATTAGTAATTTGATATTTGAATGTATATCTGAAGCAGGAGATGTTTTCAATTCAGGTGATTGATTCCTTATTTTTTTAAAAATCTTCTTCAATATATCAGCTTTAATTTCACCTAAAAATCCATCATCATTTAGGGCTGTTCTCAAATAATTCTTTAAATCATCGTTAGATGTCATTTCCATCTAAATAAAATCAAATGAAGTCAATGTAAAATGAAGATTTGTAAAAATATTATTTGGGCATATAGTAACAATAAAAATAACAAATTTCAATGGTTAAGATCATGAGTCAGTTGGAGCTAGACTACCATGGAAAACCTGGAAGCACTGGACGGCTGTTTCGTCCTATTGCGGGACTCCTCAGCAGTGCGCATCCACGACATCGCCCCCTGCGAGATTCGAACCCAGGACCTGCTGGTTTCGCGCCCGAGCACTTAACCACTAGACCACTGAGCTGGCCGGCATCCAACGGTGTTAATGTCTAACTTCAACTAATCCACGCAATTGAGCGACACATTCACCATTGTCTTCAGTGAGTTACTACCTCACAACAGACCTGGTTGAACTCCACTCGTCACTACTTCTCACTAGAACTCCAGGATATACCTCGTGAAGCCAGTCACTAGTGAGCATATTTTGATTAATATCAGATGGGTTTCAACTGACTCATGATCTTAACCATTGAAATTACTACAATCTCCACAAAAAACCCATCTGATAAAAATAACAAAATTTAATTCGAAACAACTTTTGATTACAGATTCAAATTGATATCACTTGGGATTATTTTATTGGAAAAAAAAATGTTTTTCAGAAAATTTCAAGATTTTTCAATCAGACAAATAGAAAAATTACAGTTGCTTCTGATTTACAAACAACAACAATAATAATGATTTATACGAATATTCGTCAAGATTAGAACGAATAGTTTGACAGTAATTGAGCGTCGAACAAAGAGAAGTCATTATATGTGAAAATTATATTTGAAATATTCTCAGCTATTGAAATTTAACTAATTCCAACGTTTCGTCCAGCTAACTTGTCTGGACTTCTTCAGGGTAATAATCAGACAAGTTAGCTGGACAAAACGTTGGAATTAGTTAAATTTCAATCGCTGAGAATATTTCAAATATAATTTTCACATATAATGAACACTAATGATTGTTTGAAAAAATAGGGTTTACATGTTACATATTAGATTCACAGATTACAGGTAGATTGGTTTGTGCAAGAAAATCGTCCATACAGTTTTTTGCTATGAGGATCCGTTGACCAGAGACAAAAATTTGTTCTCATTTTAAATTTTTGTATCCTAAATATACTTTCAGCTGTACTAAATTTAAATTATAAATCAACATTCTTTCGTTTTCATAAACAGATCAGATAGATAAGGAAGAGTACGATCATGAAGAATAATATCCTTCATAATACTCTTCACCGTGACATATCACTTATACGATTTAATACAAAATAAAACTTTGGAGGATATCGACTTAAGGTAAAGCACGAAATCGCACTCACAAAACACATGAGTATATTTGTAGAACTAGAGTCTGTAACCTGTGGAGTACACTGCCGAAAGCGATAGTGACGACATACCTGTATACCATAAACTAATTTTATATGCTATATCTGAAAGACACTACTCTGAGTACCAATGTTTACCTACTCTTATAACCAGTCCTCAGTAATATGGATAGTTATCCGGTTCAAATAGACCAGTTCTTGAAGTGCGCTTTCTTGTGGAGACCCAGTTTCCTTTTGAAAGTGTTCACCACTTGTTTTAGTAAGGGGTTCCAGTCTTCGACCACGCAGTGAGAAATGTGTGGAGAGTCTTTTCCTAGTATTTCCTTTCTGAGACATTCATATATAAACAAGGAAAACCCGAATATTAAATATACCATTGTCAACTATGTTGATTATAGTACTTATTTCACGAGCGTAACTATTCACTCGTATATATAGTATATTTTTTGTATAGATATTAGTACTCCGTCTTTACGTGCTTTCATTTCTTATACATTATTTATTTTATACAACAAGCTGAGTTGCATTAAACTATACTGCCTCAGGTCCACAATCCCCATCGGTTCATTTATTTGCACCTTCTGTTGTCTTGCCGATACATAGGTTCCCAATATCCCTATTTTCGTGAACATATTTACGGTTTTGGGGAAATTTTCGGTTTTCCCCAATATTTCCCCAGAATTTTATAATACTTAGGGGTTTCTCCCCGAAGTTTGGGGAAAACTATCAAACATTTCACGACTTTGTGGAAAATCCCAAAATTTACCTAAAATTCCCCAAAGTTTTGCCAATATAGGGAAACTAGTTTTCCATGAAATATAATCTTACTGTTACATTTCGTGCTTTATATTTGAAATCAACGATCTAAGTGAGACTAATTGAAGTATCATACACAAAATTAAATAGAGGATCAGTATGCTTTATTAAGAATTGAGGTGCCACCCCACTCTTCTTATTGTGGGGAAATTTTGAGGATTTTTTTTTAGTAAATTTTGTTGTTTTCTCCAGAGTTTATTGAATCCCAACAGGGTTTTTTAAATCTATTGTTATGACAATATATTATTGTGAGTAATTTCCTAGAGTCAAACGATCCTGATCCCAAAATCAGACACGCACATGATTTGAAGAAACTCGGAGAGCACATCCGTAGCATATTACGAGATAACTTTAAAGGGGTTCAGGTCAAAAAATTGATTAGGATAAGTAAGAGGACCGACGATAGTGTTGAACCCCGACCATATAGACTTCTTAAGGTAATACTACGGTCGGAGAAGCAAAGTGATCTTCTGTTAAGTAGTGCCCGTGGTCACGACAATACCGGCATTCGAATAAGACCTGATATGTCTCTTAAAGATAGAATAAAGAGGAAGACGGCACTAGCTGAACTAGAAACCTGTCGACAAAACGGTGAGGAAAATCTCTGATCAGTGGGTTTTCGAACAATCAGGCCTTGGAAGCGAATGCCATCAGGGACCGTGTGGATAGGCCGCTCTCCCTAGGATTTTTATATGCAAACGCTCATAGTCTAAGAAATTAATCCTAAGAACCAGTAGCATTAGTGGAAAAATTCAGGTCATTCATCGTAGCTTTGATTAAAGCTTGGTTAGTCCATGACTTCGACATTACTCCAGAATCATCCGGATATCACTACCTAAGATGTGATAGACATAGATGTAGGAAAGTAGGTGGTGTTATTCTCTACATAGCCAATAATATAAATATCCGCTCCTCTGTTTGCGAATCCCATGAAAGTGGAACGTGTGAAGTCATTAGCTGTGAGTTCACTATCGGAGGTTGTACATCTATACTTACTGTCATCTATCGCAGCCCAATCTACTTTCCTGATGACTTTATTTTAGAGCAGATTCAGCTATGGAGTGCAAATGACAAATGACTGATAATAGGAAACTTTAATACACCTGATATTAGTTGGACTGAGATGACCACAGAAGGATCTATAAACCCCTTTGATAGTAGGTTCCTGATAACAATAATGGAGCATGCATTAGTGCAGCATGTATCCAAACCCACACGTTTTGGTGCAAACAAAGGCTTTTCTCTGTTGGACTTGGTAATCACTCATGGTACCTGGTTCCACGTAGACCAAATGACAGTCCACCACGGATAACTAAACAAGTCAAAACACTTCTCAGACGTAAGAAAAATCACTGGAATACGTTCATCTCTACTGACTTAGAACAGTACAGATCCAGTTATTGTAAGATTATGAATGCCTGTAATGCGTTAATAAGTAAGACTAGACGATCATATGAAAAACAATTGGTTAAGGATTGTAAATATAGTCCGAAACGGTTATTCTTGTATATAAAAAGGCGAACTCAGAGAAGTGATAGGATTCCCTCACATTTGGCACAAGAACATCATATATTAGAAGGAAACAATACCGAAAAGGCTGAAGCTTTGTAGGAATATTTCAGCAAAATGTTTTCTATCAATAAGGAGGAACGACCAACGATTCATTATGATTGTGGCGGCTTGTTGATGGACCATGTAGTTATTAAGAAAGGTACTGTCTTAAGACTACCTCAGTATCTCATACCTGATAAGTCCAGTGGACCTGATGATATTCATCCTAGGATTATGAAAGCCATATCAGATGTAGTTGCTGAACCTTTAGCGATACTATTTGATATATCTTTGTGGCGGTCCAGACTTCCCAGAGACTGGAAAGACACTATAATTGGTCCAGTGTATAAGGCTGAGAGTTGGAATTTAGTTACTAATTATAGACCCGTTAGCTTAACTAGTGCAGTTGTAAAACTGATGGGAAAAATCATTCGGATAGTTGTAATAAACTATGTGGAAATGCACAGTCTTTTATCCGGGGAATAATATGGTTTTCGGAAGGGCTTATCACGGTTGACAATTTCCTTCACTTCAAGAGAAGATTGGGCTGCTGCAAAATATCAAAATATTCCTGTATATGTGATTTTCATGGATCTAAGTAAGGCGTTCGATATGGTCTCCCATTCTGGTCTTAAATTCAAACTGGAAAGTTTTGGAGTTCATCATACGGTCATAGACTGGATAAGAGGCATTTTCCATATAGAAGGCAGAGGATAAGGGTAAATGAAGCTCTCTCATCGTGGGTATCTGTAAAAAGTGGAGTTCCCCAAGGCACGATCCTCGGTTATCTTCTCTTTTTACTTTATGTAAATAAATTACCAACTGTAGCTAAATCATCCGTTCTACTCTTCGTCGATGACATAAAGATTTGGAGATCCATACACAGCATATCAGATAGAATGGTATTACAGAATGATCTCAACTTATTGGTGGCATGGATGGACAGGTGGTCACTAGAAGTAAATCATAATAATAGTGTGGTGATGCAATTAAATAACTATAATGAGTCGTATCACTACACAATATCTGGATTCGTGCTACCCAAAGTAAGAAACTATAAAGATTTAGGAGTCATATTAAGCAGTGATCTCAGAACCACTAGTCACTGTAAGGCTGCTGCTGCGAAAGGCTATGAGGTATTATGGTCAATTCGTAGGTCTTTCCAGTATTTAGATGATGAAATGTTTAGATTACTACATTTAGAATACGGGATTCAAGCAGCGAGTCCTTGTTTCAAATATGAAGTAGATATGCTAGAAAGAGTCCAACGACGAGCTACTAAGATGGTACAAGGTCTATCTGGCCTATCCTATGAAAACAGACTGAGACACCTCAACTTATTTCCGTTATCTTACCATAGAATACGGGGTGATCTAATACTGGCTTATCGTATACCGAACGATGACCCTGGTATTAACATGCTTTATCTTTTACTTCCTTCTAGGACTGATCATTTGAGAGGAGATTCGAAGAAAGTTCAAAAACCGAGATCAACTCGTTTACGTCTGAATTTTTTCCTCGCACCGAGTAGTGAATTACTGGAATTCTCTACCGGAACAAGTATATTCAGCACCATCTGTTGATATATTCATAAACGAGATTGGACTACCACAGTATTACAAACTTCAAGGATTAATATAGGTCGACAGACCTCCTATAGGAGATGACAAGTAAATGTCAGTCTGCAGATAATCACACATGTCACTCTTCACACTCTCAAAACACGTAATGTACACAACGTACATTATGTACATTAATGTATGTACATTAAAATTGGACGCAAACTCAAGTTAAGCTTCTCTTAGATCAGCTAATCTACTCACTGAGTCAAATTGTTACCCCAAACAATTGATAACATGTAAATATACTATTTGAGTGGTAATATATTAGAATTTACAGAGAAAACGATAAAATTACATATATTTACTTTCAAATGCCCTCCGTTTCGTTACTATGTCAAACCAGTAACTCAAACTTTATCTGGAACAATCAACAAACAACTTCAAATGGTTCAAATGGTTGTGGACAGAATATAAGAAGCTTTCGCTTAACAGGCTTCCGTGTCTAGTAGCAGGGGATCACAAAATCCTCCAGGCAGGAACCAAGGTATGTTAAAAATAAAAGAGGAAAAGAAATTGGTAAATCATAGTGTGATGCTGTCCTTGGTCCTTAAGAATAGGTCAAGTTGCCTCTTGAAGGACTCCTGAGAAGTCGCTTGGACTAGCTCGGCCGGCAGCGAATTCCAGCTTTTGACAACTCTTAAGGAGTAGAAGTTATGTCTACATTCCGTTTTGCTATGTTGTGTCTCCAGTTTCTGGGTGTTACCCCTTAGGTTATTATTCGAACTAAGCTTAAGTAGGTGTTTAAGAGGATGTCCAGAAGTGTTAAGGATGCTATAAGCTATCAGAAGATCACCTATAAGACGTCTATACTCTAATGGGTAGAGGTCTAGTGAATGGAGGCGCTCTTCGTAAGGTTTAGATTTCAGTCCTCGAACTGATTTCGTGGCTCGCCGTTGGATACGCTCCAAAGTGACCTTGTCCTTTTGGAGTGAGGGGGGAGTACTATGTTTCCGTACTCTAAATGGGGACGGATGAAACTATTGAAGATTGTATGGGAAGTTCGTCCGTCAAACTGTGCAAAAATGCGCTTCAACGTTACCAGTGCAAGGTTTGCTCGGAAGGCATTTTTGTCACAGTCAGCGTAAGACCTTAAATCATGAGGCACCAGGACTCCCAAATCTTTTTCGACTTGGGATACTACTAGAGAGGAGTTTCCTAAGTTGTAACTGTAGTTTGCGACATGTTGCAGATGTTGTGGAAGTTCATTTATGTAGATCAAGAAGAGAAGAGGCCCTAGTACTGAGTCCTAGGGGACCCAATAGGACATTCCATAGCCTGAGATAAAGTGAAATTAACCCTAACCTTAAAGTGTGGATTTTTTAAGTATGAAGTAAGCCAGTCGATTAGAGGTGGTTTGATACCTAGTCGTTTGAGCTTGTTGATAAGACACAAGTGGTTAACCTTATCAAAAGCTTTTGAGAAATCAAGGTAAATGACATCAACCTTTCCCTTGCGATCGAGGATGCTTGTCCATCTGTCCACCGCAGTCAGCAGGTTGGTTATACAAGAGTAACCCTTCCTGAAACCATGCTGTTGGGGTGAGAAGGAATTTAAGGATAGTAGATAGTCGTTTAAACCGTCGCATATCAGGGACTACATGAGTTTTGAAGGTAATGACAGAAGAGTCACCGGCCGATAACTTGAAGGTTCATTGCGTCGACCTCCTTTTAAAAATTGTTGTGATGTGAGCCAACTTCCAATTTGCCGGTAATTTGCCTCGGCTTGGCGAGTGTGAGAACACCACGCTAAGCGGCGTTGTCAGGATTGAGGCTGCCTCCCTCAGTATGACAGGATGAACCATATCCGGGCCAGGAGAAGTATCTAGTTTTAAGTGCTGCAGTTTCCGGAACACCAAGTTAGCGCTTAGGTCCACTTCGGAAAGTCCTGTGGAATCGCAGATGAAACTGTCGTCAGTAAAGTTGATGTCGGCCGGTTGAAATGTCTGAGCGTAATGTGCCGCCAGAGGGTTAGCGGCGTCTCCATCGTTATTGGTCGGGACGTTAGGACCTAGCGGTTGAGAAACTCCTGTTTTGGCTTGACGAAGAGAGGCTACATAACGGAATAGGCTTCTAGGGTTAGAGGCAAATTTGTCCATAAGCTCTGCCTGGTACTGAAGCCTGTCTTCTCTTACAGTCTTCGTGCTTATGTTCCTTATATGTTTATATTGCCTATACGCCCCGTCGTTATCAGTTTGTTTGTATTCCGCCCAACAGTGCCTTTTGTGGCTTAACAGGCGAAGTGTACGGTTCTTGATTACTGTAGGTGGCTTGCAGCTTTTGGGAACCGTTTGAGGAACTGAATGGTTTGTAGCACATAAGAGCGTGTGCAGTAAGAAGTCCCAATGACCGTCCACATCGAGTTGAGGGTGGACATCCCAAACCACCTATTGTCGATAGTCGTGTAGAGCTGGCACATTCAACCGTTTAAAATTCCAACGCGAATTATTGGCGCTGACAAAGCTGAAGGCTATGACTGCATGATCGCTTTTTCCCAGAGGATCCAGGATTGAGAGGTTGTCAACTAGGAATTCTTCGATTGTGAATACACAGTCTAAGCGCGATGGCGTCTGACTGTTTCTCCAACGAGTTGCCGACCTCACATTTTCGTTTATGTTTATTGAGACCTTCTCAATGGAAAAAGAATTTTCTTCACAATCGGAGGGTATCATTTCGTTATGTAGCTGTGATATATGAAGGCTTACAAATCTCCCTCTAAATATTAAACTAATTTTCAAAGAGGTAAGTTCCAGAAACTAGGGTACTGTGTAGGTCGTCAGTAAACCGAAATGAAAGTCTTTCAACCATAGGATTCTGATTTCGTGTATAATCCTCAATCTATAATAGCTCCATATTGTTTACTGGTGAATGCATAAATGCAGTTTTAACAGTAGTAGTTTTTGTTGATTTTTTGAATTATGAAAAACTGTGTATACTCTTTAATTGTCGGTTTTCTTGTATTCTTTATTCTTATGGAAGCACGAAACACAATTCGTGAGTGGAAAACGTGACAACTTTCTGTTCTTGAGGATTCTATACTGTTGGTTTATCGTTAGCCAGCTAAATATATCGAGGCGTTGAATAAATCCCAAAATAAATAGCTCGGTAAGTCTTCGACATCGGATGCTGACCACATTAGTTTTAATCGACCCATCTATCTGAAGTCGCTCGGTCATGCATCCGCATCAGATCATGAATGGGAACGTCGTGCTCAACATCCCCTTCAATCACCAGTTAATCTGGATCAGTCTATCCTCGATATATTGATAGCCTATCAAACATATCTTGGGACCTACTAGCTTCTGTCTTTTGATTTCATTTGGTGGGCACGATTCTTAGTAGAAGGCGTTACTGGTTAAGGAGTTGTCAAACTCTGAATACCTGTGGCATCTTCAATGTAAATGTTGTGAAGGATTATATGCTGTGTATTAACCCTCAAAATAATTCGCATCTTAGTTCTCTGATATTGATTCAGTCTATATCAGTTTTACTCTACACACCCTTAGCTAACGACACACGGTCAAGCATCCTCATGTTTAAAAAGGCTGTGATGCTCAGCTCTTACTAGTCGTTAGTTTTTTATTATGTACACACTGATCATTAATCTAATGTAACTTCTTACACTCCTCCTCTTAACTTCCTTGTTCGATTGGTTTTGGGATTATTGGATAAGAATGAATTTAAGATCATATTGTTGACAAAGCTACATGTGACACTTTCAGAATATTGTATTAAATTCGGAAACGAATCTACTCTGTATCCATCCAACGATAATCTCTCTATCAGTCACCCACAATCTTCATTTTCCGACAAGGACCTGAGTGGTCAATCCTACCAAACGCTGTAGAGAAATCTAGAAGTCAAGATTTGGGATGGATGATTGTGCTTCTGTGGGAGCCAAGCTATTCCGGGTAGTCCACTTGACTGTAGCACAAAGTCTTCTGAATAGATTAACCAAGTAAGCCTGTTGAAAATTGTTTTCGAGACTGCATACAACAAGCAAGTATCCCCTTCCTAACTTTTATTCATGTTTGTACAACTACTTTTTTTCAGTCGAACAGTAATAGTTGTCATTCGCGTAGATTCTCAAGAGTGAATAAAATAAAGCAAACTCAGGTTAATACTTAAGTTGTATCATGCTCACGTAACGCGTTGATTTCTAAACAATGTATCGTACACGGTATTTAATCTGGTACAGGTATACCAAAATGTAACTTGCAGAATTTCGTGACTATCGATTATGTATGATGTCACAGGTATTCATGTTTGACAACGCTTCTACCAGTAACACCTTCTATAGCACGGCGTTACCACACGTGATCTGGTGCAGATGCCTGACCGAGCGCCTTCAGCTAGATGAGTCCACTAAAACATATGGTCAGCATCCAATGTCGAAAACTTAGTGCTATTTATTTTGGGGATTTATTTACCGCTACAATGTAATTAAAGTCTGACAATTTTGTTCTTTACATCCTGATCAATTAAAACTAATAAAAAATTCTAGGACGGTCGCCACTGTGCTTTTCACTGGGTGGACGCCTTTAGCATCACTAATATGTTGTACAAAATCCCTGCGGTCGGTTCTAATATGAAATTTCTGGATGTTTACGGTGATGCCGTGTTTCTGGATGCATTTGAAAACAAGGTCTAGATGCTGAATATGCGCATCTTTATCAGAAATACGATCAACCTGTCTTCAGCAAACGTAGGCATAACATTCAAACCACTGAATGTGTCATAGGCCAGTCTTCGCAGGTTGTGTACCATTTCACAAACAGAAAGACGCGGGCAAAGACCCATGAAGTTCGTAAGAAATGATGAAAGCTGCTTAAGGAATGTTACCTTCAGTAATAAAACTTTTTATATTCTCTGAAGTGAAGTAATAGGTCACCTACAGTTACCAGTCGGATGCCATTAATTGCAGTCGGATTCAAGGACCATGTCCAAAGTAAATGCCGATGAGCTGTAAAGTGTCTAGTTAATTCCTAGGTTCATCATATCCACAAGTTTCATTTTGGTCAACATACACTTTTTTGCAGTTGGCCGATGCCTCTTCGGTAGTGCAGGTGTTCCTGTTGCCACGATTTGTCGTGCTATAGGATTATCATCCAATTCGACATTAGTTGACTTATCCTTCCTGCTATAACATCAGACCTACTTAATCTAAATGACATAAGTGGACGGGACAACATTAAACTATCATGACAATCAGGAACATGGCGTCCAACACTTTCAAAGAACACATTAGACACAATGAGCATGACATTTTCATTGATTGTCGCGTCTATCATAAGTACTAACATTCACTTTGCGTTAGGTGTGGATCTTCACAATTGTCTCAACTTGGCGGACCACTTTAACCCAAGGCGATAACCCAGTTGAATAATAAATGAGTCCGAAAATACATTTAGGTCTCCAGAAAGTTGAGAAGAATCGTATTTAAAGGGACTAGTGGATGCAAGGTATGTGTAACATGCCGTTAAGATTCGTAATCTAATGTGGATACGTGGCCGAGCGCCTCCAGGTGGTGTGTAAAATTAATGAATTCAGCACCAAATATTTTGTAAATTTACGCATCGCCACATGACCTCCTCTTTCATTTTGGTGCTTTTAAAGTTTGGGTAGGTTCAGAATCTACAAAGCCATATACGCTGAATCCTCGATTCCCGAGATAATGACCAATGGTTACACCCAATATGACATTTGAGGCGTTTAGAACTGGAAAGATATTGATTTTCTTGTTCAGTGTAACTCTATTCAGACAGCTTATTTTATTGTTAATAACGAGCTCCTGTTGGTCAACATTCCGATACATCTGAAGCTTATGCAACCATTACATACTGATAACTAGCAAGCTCTACAATTGTTCACAGTTCACCAAAGAAACATAACTACTTCGTTCAACTCAGCATATATTATGCCGTAGTAAGTTATTACATATAATCTTTGATGGCTTACAAATTATAAGCAACAATCTTATTCCATTTGATAGAACACAAGGATTCCTGGGACTCGAAGTGACCGAACTTTTGAGCAATCGCCAATCAGTCATATAGAGCAGCCTTTATGTCATCTTGGATTCGAAAAATACACTCTACGCCGGGACTACTTACTAAGCATCGGCTGAACTTAGTATTTGGACAACAAACTGCAAGCTGAACGCGAATGCACTAAGTATTTCGAGTAGCTTGAAAATATCGATATTTGATGTGTTAAGCTAACCACGTTCCAAACCATCGATTTCAACTGGTAATGCGAATTAGATTGTGAGACTGATGTTCCGAACGAGACCTTCTATTCTGACTGAATAATCACTTATTTGTAATTAACCCTCACCGCGAAACCACATTGCTAAGGACAGATTTGATTATGTCTTTACATTTAACTAAGAGCAAAATGAAGCGCCGCCCTCCATGTTGAAAACTGCCAAATGGAATCCAAGAAATATCAACTCCAGCATAAATCGCTTGCGTTCATGTTTGGAATAACTCCTGTGTAGTCAACTCGTTGGAAATTTTTTTCAACGGAAGACTGACGATATTGAGAGAAATAGCGATGTGACAGACAACAGCACTAATGCGTGGATTTACACAGCTTGCATCAAGGTAATTTTGTAAGAAACCCTCAACTAGGACCTAAATTTCAGCTTCCTTACACACATGAACTAAAACTTTCCAGAATGTAAGCTTGATGGCTATAAATACTGCTGCTATTGTTTCAGAAAAATGAAGTAATTGACAAGTATTCATTCTCAAGAAGTAATCCTCACTTCCAAATTCGAAAGTGCTTTAACCGGTTAAATTTGCTCTTAACGTTGGGACAGTAGTTTATTATTTCGAGACGGAACTGGTATGCTTGCGAGTCAACAACCCGAATAACCCCCCTCCAAAAAAAGATTAATAATACTTCGAAATCTAGAAAAAATATGTGAGCACAATGAGTCTATGTTTATGAACAAGCATGTTACGGAAACACAATCAGCCTTACATATCGGAGAAATGAGGACTCTTGATTACACACTAGAAAAGAAACGACAAAACGAATGACCGCTCAAACAATGAACGTTGATTAAAACACTATGCTACTTGTCTAACTTAGCACCTCTATACATATAGCCACCAATTTTGTTCGATCTCAAGCGACTGACTAGAAATTTGCATTTATCGGCGAAGAAATTCGTCTATTGTGCAATTATCATATATTAGGTTTGTATGTTAATAGTTGGTGGAACAGATATGTGAAACAATACTGAATAATCTAAATGACTCACAAATCATAAAAAGAAATAACCAGTTGAAGCAAGTCCGAGGTTATTGCACATTTGTATAAAAACAGGTAAGAAAGTACTACAATTACTATGATACCTGGATAACATTATGTAGAAATTTATGTCCACCGTCACAAGTTACTAAGTTTCCAAGAACAATATACTGAGCGAAACATGTGTGTAACAACTGACCATTTACAAGAGGAAAACAAATTTTAGGAGCATTTATAGTAAGTCAAATTTTGAATTTTAAAGTTGACTATGGTTAACTAAGCTTGAAAGGAAGCACAATTGAAAATAATCACGTAATTAGAAGTATCAACTTTGTTAAGTATAGAAATGTAAGTGAAATATGATGTATAGAGTGTTCACAGAATGAACGAATCGGAAGATTTTGATATAAATATAAAGTGTTTACTAAACGTTAGATAAATCAACATCCGACCAGCCACTGGGCATCAGGAGCCATACGAATTTCTGTGTCAAATTATCAAGATTTAAGTAGTCAACTAAAGTGACTTATAGGATTTGAGTTATAAACAGTCATTCATTAACTATCTAAGCAGCAGAAACAACTTCACAAATATATCTGCAAATCATATACGCAGCAAACAGAACAAAATCAAAATTTAAACAGACGAACGAAAGTGTAAGGACTTGAACCAATGCATTCGTCAACTAATCAACCATAAAAAGGGACCAGGCAATCCAGTCAGTTCAATGACAAAGTTAGCAGTCATTATCAGTAACCGTAACTTACTTCTTCAATCACTAAGTATCTACTCCATAACTTTTTGATTTATGGCAACCCACTATTTGTTACCCTTAATGATTATCGTTGGAAGTTAGAGATATTACTCTTAGACAGTATTTACAAAAATACTATTACCTACACAGGAAGTTTTCAGGATTACCTCCGTCTTATTGACTGAACTCTGATAGCCTGTTTTAGAAACACCAAAATGTACCAACATATTTTCTGATGCTTTCATTACACAGCACAGCTTTCTGAAACGTGGCAGCACCAGAATTCACATGTCAAACAGTCTGATCACTCATATCTCAGCATTATGTACCATAACTTTCATACAGAGTACACGAATAACATCGCACGACTGACACCAATATGCAAAGAAACACGCAAGCTTTTGACTCACTACTAACAGTCGTACAATAGAAGTACATCTACCCTGGAGGAATCACTAATTTACAACACACTGACCCAAACAAATACACAGTTGCTTGAATAATGAAAAACCAATTCTTTTACCAACAAATTGACATAACCCATTTAGTTCGGGCAAGTGATACAAAACAAAGACTCAATGGAGCCAAAATTAAGGAGGAAGTAAGAAATGCAGGAGTTGAGTATTGAATACCTTGAATCCATTCATCGTGTTAAAGTGCCTAAAAAGAAATCCAAACAGGAAATACAGGTTGTCAGAAAAGAATAAATGTGGAATACTCATGAAGTAAAAGTTAGATACTTCATTGAGTGTGATAGCATTCACTTAATGATTATTCATGATTTATTTCAGACATAATTTGTAACTCTCGATTTAATAAAAAAACATACATGATAATCAGAGGCGAGCGGCAATGAAAAGAAACATATTATCCAATCAGCATCAGTGGAGGTTTTTTAAAAAGCATTACCAATCGTAATGTGTTTAGATGGGTTCCAGAACTTTCCAGCAGCTCAAAGTTATCTAACATTCTATAGATACCCTAGATTTTCTGTACATAAACTAAACTTGGAGTAAAGCGTTCTTTCCATATTTCATGACTTTTGTCTTATGTTCAAGTTGACGTGTCGATCTACCCTAGAGGTTACTAGAAGAGCCTAGGGAACATTGGAAGATTTATCAGTAATATTTGCTGGATCAACTTGATTTAGCAGTAAATAGAACTTAAAATTTCTAGACACTGAAATTCCATTTGGTGATGATCTGAGAACGCGGATTTTGGGAAGGATCGATTAAGATCCGAACATAAGTCTGCACAACTCTGCCTGTAGCTGTTATAAGACTACTGACGGTCTCGAGTCTGGGTAGAGCAGGACGGCGAATTATGAGGGGGGACATTTACTTATTTGAACGCATAAATATTGGTACAAGGTGGTACCAAATATATGTGTGGGGTCAGCATCCCTATCCTGTAGGAAACAACCCTTCTAAAAAACGCCAACCAGAACAAATTAAATTCTGTCCTGTGAGTTGAAAAAAATGATGAAAGCCGAAATTCTTTGGAAGTCACGAGGCCGATGCCCCTTCTCGGTCTGGTCCCTAGATGGTTGCTAGACATTTGTGTCAGTTTATTATATGGTTAGCTACTTAATGTCTAGTAGATAAGCAAAACCCAACGTTACAAAACAGTTATAAGTTTATTCTTTTTACAATGTACTTATCGATGCTGCTACTTTCCTGATTAGTGAGATTTAGCATAAAATATGATTACATCAATGTACACTATTCCCTGCTAGGAGATCAAACGAGTATTTTACAATAAAAGCGATGGGCCGGCAAACCCTTGAAAAATTCAAGACGTTTCAGAATCGCTCTTCATTACATTTCGAAATGATAAGGAGTAAACTAAATAAAAGTGTACTAATTAGGAACCACGTGAATAGCTAACTATAAATATGAGGTCCATTAAAATTAAAACCATTATAATGAGTTACACAGTTTGATGTACGGCAATACAAGAAGGACTGACTCGATACTTGGTTAATAAATGTTTTTGCAGTTTGTAGGAATTAATATTAAGAGGAAATTTTAGGTTGAGTAAATTTGCAAACTTTCCTCAAAAAAAAAGACATCAACTGAGTAACTAAAGCGCTTTATTCTTAATTTCGGGTCAGTGGGGTTAGAATTCATCTACTTGGGTTTAAATACTTAAACAGTATCATATCAGCATTACAGAAAAGTGAAAATGAGAAATCAACATAATTTAATATGGATTTTAATATTTGGAAATATATACGGTGGCAAAATGATGAGACCACAGAAAGCGAAGCCTTTATATTAAGGAAAGATATGGATTAAATGTGATAATTGGAGGGTGTGAAGTAAAAACAAACTTTCGAAAAAACTAATGTTACAATTTAACGATTAGCAAAATCTGAATTCTAATTAGATTTTTCTGCACACTCAGGTTTAATCTGTTGATATTTTTTCTTTTCAGATACTATCAACACAAATGTCCCCGTCTATGAGCACTAGAGTACTTAGGATTAAAAAACTTCAGTAACGTGAATGTTCTGGTATTTTATTTATTTTACAAAAATCTGCGTACTTAATTTTCACCTACTTATACGACAATCTGTGTTACAATCAGTAATGATTATTATGTCAAATTTAAGTAGAGTATTCATTTGCTGAAAACAGAAAAGAATGAGGAAACTTCATTACACCTACTGTATGATGAACAAACGAATACGGATGGTAAAATCTGTTTTATGAATGAATGATTTTCAAAAGCGTAGGTCTATGGCCAAAAACGATTTTCTCAAATGGTAGCTGAGTAATGACTTACGGTTTTGGTACTCAGCTTTCGAACAACAGGTTTCAGCTTAAGACTTTGGTTTAGTATCATCAGTACACACATACAAAGTGTAGTTTAAAGCTAATTACCTAAAATTCTACTTGGTAACTGAGTCACATCTCTGATTAAAACAGAAAAAAGATATTATCGCCTAAGTAAAATTTTAACAATGTGAAATGTACTTGCATGAGAATTATGCAGTCCAATATTGGCGAAAGTATATCTAGGTTGGTGTGTTGTCAATTTGTTAGAATGATCTGCAAACAAACTTACACCAGAATTGCCAAGCATAGAAGTATTGCCAGCTCCAGTGGCAGCGCTAACAATGGCGGCTACTACATTCGGATTACTTAAGATATTCATCGTAGCAAGTGCAGCAGAATTTGAAGAATCCACAGATACTCCATTGTATTCTGGTTGCCCATTTGATGGGGTACCTGAGTTTCGAGTCTATATGGAGATTAGGTATGCAAAAAGTATATATATAAGATATAGTATATTTGAATGAGTGAAATATAAATCTTACAGCCAATGTGTTTAATTCACTAGGTAACTCAACAAAGTCTATATTAAAATCAACAATAAAAATGCCCAACCTAAAACAGAGCGTATGAAACAAACTCAGAACTGACTTGGTGACAGTGATGAAACAATAGATTCTCCAAAGACAATAACAGTGTCTATTATCTGTACATAACAAAATATAAGTGAATGTAGTGCTTAGCAATTACAGTAGGATGTCATAACCTTCAACTCCATAATATGTCATTAAAATAGGATCATTGACTAACTACAAGTTTTCTTATTATGGACTGACCGATAACTTTCTCTAAACAATAACACAATCAACCTCTATCCTCAATAGTCAGCCAGAAGACAACACAAGCCGATATACCTTCCGTTCTTCAGACTCAAAACTTCATAGGATTGCATACAACCACAAATAAGAAATCATAATTGGTGTACACCGAAGTCACGCGTGATACAAACTGGGTATTAGGTATATAACTGATCAACGATGATTCCGGGACAGTAAAACAACATTGACAGTTAGTAAGTTAAGTGGAAGCTTATAATTATGACAATAAGAAAATACACGATAATTACACAATAGCAATATATGTAATTCACCACATAGGAGTTTTACGTCTGTTAAATATTTTTTGACAGAATAAAAAGGAAATATGAACTAGGCACGCAACAAGGACATAAACATAATTTGTGCAGTATTTAAAAGTATGTTTCACAATCAAACTATCGTTGAATAGATTTGGTCTGAAAATTTTGAAAACTGAGATCAGTTTTTGGATACGTAAATAAAGATTGCTGCTATCCAACAAGAGCCTCCGAAGTCGGACCAAGCCCTATCAGTGAGCAAAGATCACTCACTATAACTACCACGGTGACGCTTTATTTGTATTTAAGATATTTGTTGTTAGAAACTAATCTTAATATTTGTCAAACTGTTGACTTCTATTCACCCGGTCGTGATTACAAGGAAGCATGGAATTCTACCATTATTTCGTTGCATACAAAAAGATACTTGAATCACTCACTTCGTATGGTCATATGTACTAATTGTGCAACAAATGTGTTACTTAGAGATAAACCGGCTTTTAAGACTTAAAAAAGACTTATATACCTAGATCACACAGTCAAGTGCAAAGTTTTACACAGTAGTAAATTCTAATACTGAAAGTACTCACATGATGGACACGAGTATATTCTGCTGCTAAAACAGCAGCAGCTGCTGCAGCGGCTGGATTCATTCCCCCCATTGATCCGTTTCGACTTCCACCTTTACCGGAAGAATGTTGCCCTCCATATCGGTTATTCTGAACCATACCTCCATAAGCTGGTGGCCAAGCTATAAATAAAAGTGAGTAGTTTACAAATGAATTTAACAAATAGTAACTGATTACAAACGCTGAGCGATGATCAACACATAAAGGAAAACACATTTATTAATAATTACCTGTGTGATAAAGTTTTGTCATTAAGTACTAGTGTACATAAAAATCAGAAAATCTACCAACTGACGTATAGAAAGCTAGAACCACTCCATGTGATTACTGGCAACTGATTTTAATCATGCATACCATAAGGCTAACGTCTCACATTTTAAAGTTCGGATATCATATCAAAGCCCAACTGATAACAGTAAAGCTAAACAATAATACTGCAAATCCTTTATCGAAAATAGCTTCATACGTGATAGCTAGATAAGCTGCCCGTCTGATCAAAGCAAAGCACATGAAACTAGGTTTGGATCTAAGATAAAATAGCTGAAATTCGAGTGACTCAACCACAAAGCTACTGTTAATCTGGGCTTATTAAGTAAGATACAAGACACATTTTGATAAATAGTCTAATTTTTGGGGTGTTGTAAAATTAAGCAGAGAAACATCACATGAAAAAAGCAAATGTTTCACAAACTCCGTAACACATGAATACCAGCTACTTTTACTACAGAAATTTATAAGGCGATAAACGAAATCTAAAAAACAGTGAATGCTTACCACCCCATTGTTGAGTTCCCATCATTGTTGACTGAAGAGCAGCTTGCATCGAGGTAACTGGAATTCGTTGATTATTAGTGTTACTTTGACGGGCAGAAGGAGGGAGTTTGGGGACTGCAGAACCAACGCTTATACGAATACCTTGAATCTCTTGGTCCTTGCCTAACAAAGAAGCTGCAACCTCAGGATCATCGAACGTAATGAAGGCGAACGATCGAAAGGGTTTGGGTATGAAGACATCAGATACCTAAAATAAATTTTTTAGAAAGATTCGCATATTACTTCAAAACGCAGACAATTTATACTAGTGTAAGATAGACGGCGACAATGTTTAGACCAACTACTTTTGGTGTGGCAACTCGAACTTATGTACGTACGTACGAAGTTCTACGTTGTTACTGATGACTTGACATCACAGCGTACTCTCCTAAGTAGTGAGCCAAGACACAAGGTTTAACTCGGCCAGATACCCTTCACTGTCAGCTGAATTATGGAGTTTTGAGAAATAAGTATACTTGTGTAAAGTTCTAGGTTTTTGCATTTAACAGATGGAACCATATATATATATATATATATATATATATATATATATATATATATATATATATATATATATATATATATATATATACTACAACCCCCATCAAGAAGGTACAATTATTTATAAATTGTTGTCTACGCACGATACGCAACATCCATTGGCCGGATACCATCGGCAACAGCCTTCTCTGGGAGAGAACAAATCAGCTTTCAGCTGAAGAAGAAATTAGGAAAAGACGATGGAAATGGATAGGATATACATTACGCAAATCATCGAACTGCATCACGAGGCAAGCTCTAACTTAGAATGCTGGAGGGAATCAGAATAGAGGAAGAACAAGGAACACATTGAGTTGGGAACTGGAAGCAGACATCAAAAGAATGAATATATATATATATATACGTACATCAGTTCGAGTTGCCATACCACATTAGCACAGAGATGCAGTTGTCGATTCAAATCCCGTAGTGCTAGATGTAGTAAGATTATAAGCTGTAATCAGAAAAATTAGGGTTTGAAGATGTTATTCAAGGAGTATAATCCAGTGAAATAAATTTGGAAAGAGAAAAAAGAAAGGGACATGAAGAATTCAGAAGATTAGAATTTGGGAGAACACAAAGAGTGGATCGTTTTAGAAAAATAACTGGGACAATCAATAATACTTTATGTTCATGAAACGAAAAGTTAGGAAGATTTTTCGGAAATATGTACTTACTCTTCCATATTGGGAGAAATGCTGGCGCAGAGTTTCGGGACTAATATCTTCTGTTAATCTTCCAATGTGAACTTTTCGGGAAACTTCTTGACGGTCACCCTCCATCTAAATCACCATTAAGAAAGCATTAATCTTTTATTAAATTATATGTCAAATTAATGAAAAACATCACAACCCACTACATTATACAACCAATCTATAGAAAATAAGATATAACTGAAACCTAGTCAGGAAATTATCAAGATTGTATGGTTGAAGTGTTGACAGATCAAACACCAGGCAAAAATTAAGGCACGACGATTAGGCTTGATGGGTTAAGACCATCAAGAAACACATTTGGTTAATCAACAAAAAAATGACTAAGAATAGTAAACTAAAGTGAAGAACAGATATACAAAAAGTCACCGGTAACAATTATTTTAATTAAAAACCAGTGTCTATAGTGACAATACTGATGCAAAAAGTGATGTCTTTACTACGTTTAGATACCAGGATAAAACAGTTCACATCCTCCCTGACCACAATTACTTCAAAACACATCTTGTGAGGATAAATTATTTGCTAGAGGTCAAGGAAGACTAACCGACATTCGAACTTATTCAATTACATACCGATTACATTTAATGATTATAAACAAGAGAATATTAAACCAAACGAATGCCACATGAACGAAAAATCACACTGATTTAATTGATACAATTAAAGTGCACTAAAAGTCAACTGGACAGAAATCACCTCAAATCAATCTGAATTTTTATTGTGTTAGGATATTAAATGCCCGAACACAACATATTAAGTTAATGAGTGAATTCTGTGCGCTCAGTGGACACCAAGTAAATAAAAGTACAAGTAAAAAAGCCTGGTGATTGTAGGAATTAGCTTTCATTCCCAGGCCTTTTAACAACTTATAGCATCAAATGTGCACATGAAAACAAATCATTGTTCCATGAAAGCCCGAGATACTTGATTTTAAAGAAACATTTTTCTATTGAAGTCGTAACTTATTACAAGTTCATGTACCTGGATTTGGGTCACGATTTGTGTAGAAAGTAGTGGGAACACCAAGGTCTCCAAACCGTAATAGGCAACCACTTAGCCACCGACCTACTTTTCTACACTAAATATCACAATTCAAAAAAGCTTTGAGGGATGAAAAAATCGTTACCTTTGATATAGGAATGCGAACATCGCACTGTCGATTTTCAATGGTATGTCGTTCAGCTAAACACATAACTTGTGCTGTATAATCAGCGAAGCGGATAAACCCATATCCTTTGCTTTGTTGGGTTACGGGGTCTCGCTTGATCTGTAAAAAATAAAGTTTATGGTGCACATGAAAGCCTACAAAAATAATAAATAATCGTTCCATCAATGACTAACATTTCTTAAACATAAACTGACCAGTGAATGTTCTTTGGTTAGAACAGTCTTTCAATTCGTAGCTTCTAATTTTAAAGAAACTAAGAAATATGAAAGATGTCGTCTATACTCAGATCTACTACGAATTTTACTGCCTTTTGCCGTTAGACGACAAGTAGAGGTGGGTAGTGTTGTAATGGATAACAGCTGAAACTAGGACCTTAAATCGCAACTTACTGCTAGTCGTTAGTCTCAGTGTCAATACCTCATGTTACAGGCTCCCAAAATTGCCAGGGATTGTAACTGTCCAATATTAGAGAACAGAACTTGGTGGAACCAAAACTTTTAAGGAAGAAAAGTCTCACTCGACTTTCAAAAAATATGGTCATTAGCAAAAAGGCGGAATTTATTTGGTTCATGCGGTTATATGACATCACCAAGTTTGTGGTCAAGTAACATGTCCCATTAATTTTTCCTTATCTGCACGTCCTCCTCGTCTATAAGTCAAACACGGAACTAATCACGAAAACGTGATTGTACCAATGAAACGCAAAGTTATCTGACGCTGGGGTTGTATAAGTAGTAGAAAAAGAAGAATCAAATACCACAAAGATGGTAAAATTATCATACAAGGAAAAATCAAATCACTGTCAACCATATCACAGTGACAAACAACTTTCAGTAGGGAATCACCACAACGTAATAGTACAATTTGATAAGTACACAGACTGAGAGCGCGTCTACTCTTTCTTGTTCTTCCAAATTCTAATCTTCTGAATTCTTCATGTCCCTTCTCTTTCTAAATTTATTTCACTAAATTATACTCCTTGAATAACATTTTCAAACCCTAGTCTTTCTGATTACTACTTATACTTTTACTACCTCTACCACTATGAGATTTTAATCAACGATTGTATCACCGTGCTAATGCGGTATGGCAACTCGAACTGATATGTGTACGTACGAAGTTCTACGTTGTTGATGACTGACTGACCCAGACTGAAGGTGCAGGGGGGTTCTAACATGCGATTTAGTTGTTCATTCTTAAGCACTATCAAAGTAACGGTACATACAGAAACCACTTCTAAACAGTTTAATTCATGAGACAAAACGGCACACGAAATTGATACATTTCCTAACTTGGTAGGTTGGTGCTTGTGTACGTTTGAGTATGATACGCAGACCAACAAACTACAAGTCGAAGAGACAATATGCAGCGTACCAATACAGAAATATCGATACCCAACATCTTTAATTCATAATTCTCGAGGGTTTTGATGCTTTTGTAATTTCAAGTGAAGAAATGGTACGCTTTTAGAACTAAGCATTACATTAAAATCACATTTGGCACCATAAGTGTAATTTTCGCTGAACTGGCTCAGTCAGCCACAACGTAGGACCAGGCACATATATGCATCGGTCCAAGTTGCCATACCTCACTAACACAACAAGGTGGACACCGGATTCATAACGTTAGTTAATTCAGAGGTGGTAATATATAAAAGAAAGATTGCAATAAGGAAATAGTACAGAAACAAAGAATTAGTTCGTAGAAAAAAAGACATGAATCAATTTTAATCTCTTAGTTTAAGAGAAGACAGAGAGTGTATACACCGACGCCATTGTGACCGATTCTGAGCCATGTCATCAAGTCTCCAACCATTGGTTACGAAAGTCACGCGGACCCCAACCAAGTAGTCTGCATCTACCAACATGGCTCAGACTAGAAGTTAGTGTCTTCAAGCACTGATGCCACGTTTTGGTTTGGCCGCCCCTTATTTTCTTCCAACCATCTCCAACACCGGTTAGCATTGCACGTCGTGGTAATCGGTGTTCGGGCATACGTAACACGTGGCCCAACCATCTCAGTCGATGAAGATTCACAAACTCATCAACTGATTTACCATCATTCCCTAATACCCTGCGTCTAACCTCACTATTACTTACCCGGTGATCCCAGCAGATGCCAGCAATATTTCTGAGGCATCTGTGGTCAAATACTAGTAGCTTACGAGTGTCTTCTACTCTTAATGGCCATGTTTCGCTGCCGTAAAGTAAAACAGAACGAACTGCCGCGCAGTATATTCGTCCTTTTATTGATAGACGGATATCTCGCCTTCGCCATAGGTGACGTAAGTTGGCAAAAGCCAAACGAGCTTTTCGAATCCGTGCTGAGATTTCGTCCGATACCAACCCATTAGGGCTGGTCAAACTTCCAAGATAAGTGAAGTTGTCGACGCGTTCGACTACTTCACTCCCTATCCTTAGTTCAGGTGTTGACGCAGACCAGTCCTGAAGCAACAACTTGCATTTAGAGGGAGAGAAGCGCATCCCAAACATTCTGGCATTGTTGCTTAGTGCTACCAGAAGACTCTGCATTTTATCAGCGTCTTCACCAAACAGGACTATATCATCCGTATTCTAAGTCGATAAGTGGACCTCCTGGAAGGAGATCAATACCCGAGAATTCAGTAGACGAGAATGTTATTTCTATCAATAGGTCTATGATGAAGTTAAACAAAAATGGACAGTCTTGACGGACACCACTTGAGGTTGCAAAAGTAGATGACAGTTCGCCATAAGCTCTGACTCGACTAGTAGTGTTCGAGTAAAGAGCCTTCACAAGGTTTATGTACTTCTGGGGTACGCCTTTCAATGACAGACACTGCCACAGAATCTCGCGGTCTACAGAGTCAAATGCTGTTTTTAAGTCGAGAAAGACACCATTGTCGGACGCCGATAAGTATGCCTGTGTTCTAGAATCTGACGAATGGTGAATATGTGGTCGATGCAGCCACGACCAGGTCTGAAGCCAGCTTGGTTCTCTCGTGTTTGCAGTTCACGAGTCTTAGTTAGGCGTCTGATAATTATCGAAGCTAGTATTTTAGATACTATATTAGTTAAACTAATCCCTTTGTGGTTGTCACAAGATGATTTTGACCCTTTCTTATATATTGGGACGATAAGTGATTGTGACCAGTCAGATGGGATAACGTCTGACTCCCAGATCTTAGCTAAAATATTAGTCAACCTAATCGCTAAAATTGGACCACCATCCTTAAAGACTTCTGGAGCCAATCCATCTGGACCAGCTGCCTTTCCTCGTTTCAGATTAACTATAGCCTTCTCAACTTCAGCAAGAGTTGGGGGACCTACTTCAATGTTCCATTCACATTGTCTGGGAATGGAGGGTAGTTGTAGAGTCGCTGAAGGCCAGTTGAACTGTTCCCTAAAGTGTTCCGCCCATCGTTCTAAACGTATGGACTGGGAGTAGATGAGAGTATCGTCTTTTTCCGAAATAATCTCACTTACGCTTGACTTATTAATTCCAGTTTCTTTTATTAGTCTATAAAGCTGTCTTGTGTTCCCTATAGTCGCCACCTTTTCTATCTCTTTTGATTTCGTTGCCCACCACTGCTCAAGGTCGTTTCTTAGACTTTTTCTTAACCTAGATCTGATTTGTTGTCGCTCTTCATCATTATCGGAACCTGATGGGACGAGTTTGCGAGAATCCATCAGTGTGATAGACTTTGAAGAAATCCACTGGTTCTTTGTAACTCTGTGGTTTAAGCCACTAATAGATTTTATTGCTGTTTCCACAGCTGTTTGTATAGCTTTCCAAGCAACATCTGGTCAGCCTCGTTTTCAGAACTACCTAAGTGTGACCTCAGTTGTTCCTGGAACCTACTTTTGGTTTTCTCGCTACTCAATCCAGTTCTGATGGGTCTTTTTAATGTGGCTTTTTTGCGTCCAGTGAGGCGCAAGCAGATGCGTGCCCGTACTAGGGCATGGTCGGAGTCCAAGCAGGTACTGCAGAATGATCGACAATCTTGTACCGACCCTCTCCAACGATGACTGATGGCAATATGGTCTATTTGAGTCCATCGTTGATTTGGTGTAGGGGGTCGCCATGTTAGACGATGTCTCTCCTTATGCTTAAAATTTGTGTTTGCTAAAAATAAACGATTGTCTGAGCATAGTTGCAGCAGACGATCACCATTATCTGTTCGCTGTGTTGGAATACTAAAATATCCACCTAAATGCCTTTCTGTTTGGTTTAAACTACCTATCTGAGCATTAAAGTCACCCCCTACGAGTACTATGTCTGAGCGTTTAGTTCAGGATGATATTATTAGGGATGCACTACTTAACTAGCTGCTTACACTTGTCAGGGCTAATAACGTTCTGTTAGCTCTAAACGTTGTTAAGAGCTACAGTAACCTTAACATTAAAAGTTTCATGTTTCTGAGCCTGTTTGTGGGTTTAAGCTGTAACCAACACTTTAGGAATGCAATTTAAGAAGAAACTTAAAACCCACCTGGATCATCACAAGGTCACCATACTGGCTAAAGTAGTCACGTAAAGTCTCTTCATCGGCCCGCCAAGGCAAGTTTAACACTATTAAGTCCGTACATGTTTTTTTATCAAAACGTTTTTGCTTCATTTTGGAATCTAACGAATCTTCATCTGCTTTTCTCTTAGAACCTTGAAAAAAAAACATTGGAAATCACGTAGAATGTTATTGCATCTCTAGAAACAAAATAATTTAACATGAATAGGTTTTCTTATTTATTCCGATTGAAGTCCCAACGTTGGTCTTAAGGCTCTTGTACCATTATTATGTGCACATATTGATAACCAAATGACCAGTCCTGAAGTTTGCTTTACACATTTAGTCGAAAAGGCCAGATCACTTGTGTTGCAGGCACAAAAGATACCAAATACAGAAACGTTAGCGATATCTATTTCTGCAATGAAATTATTTTAGACCATTTAGGACATGAATGAACATTACGAACAAATGAATAACAGAATCATACCGAGGTTATCTAACACCTCCATAAGTTCAGACTTTAAACAATTATTTAAGAGTATCTGAAATTTAAAACACTGTTTTTAATGAATAAAACCAACCCTGCCAACTACCAGTTAGTATAATCACTACTTATATTTTCACTTGGACCTCCCATAACATTATATGGACTAATCGGTATCCAGGGTAACGCTTTAACTGACGACAAAACTGTCGAACAAACGTGGTGTATAGCAGTTTCATATTGCTCTAGCAGCTTCACTGTAGCATGAGACCAATACAAATCACTTAAAAGACTAAAGCAGTACTTCAATTATGATTTATTTGTAAGAATCTTTATTCTAAAATCTTTCCAGGAATAACAGACGTACGTTAATGAATAAATATTAGAGGTTCTCGCCGTTAGATCTGGAAGAAAACGGAAACGCAGTACAGTAGTACCTGACACGCACTACGTCAGAAGACTAGTGCTTTATATGAAACATCCAAGATATTTAAATGAACGATGAGTCGAGTTTGGCAAGCCCATCACGATAAGCTGAGTTAGACGGAATATTTTGAGGTTTTCGACATATTCGGTTTTTAATAATATTTAGATAAAGACGTGAGGATGTGTGGTTCTGATGGATACTCCCGGGTTTCAGAGTACAAGAAACTGTGTAAACGGTTGACAATTCTCTTTCACAGCATCTTAACAACAATGTCGGCTGAAAGTGTCAACGAAATCCAGACCACTCGTAGGACGTTAAAGGAAGGGACTTCAACACATTATCGACCAAATGTCAGCGGAGATACACAGCAAACAGGAAAGCAACAGGACCACGACTTACTATCTCGGATGTCAAACAGAGGTTTCTACACGGAATTCGACGACAATAGGGAGCATTCAAGGTACCTCCCGGCCAGTAGCTCTTGGAGAACAACCGTTAGACGGATTGCCTTACTTAGTGTTGTAATTATCCAAAACCACACGATGTATGAGAGCGTACTTAATATCTTTGATCATAAGGAGCCTACGGAAGGAATAAGACAAAGATGCCGGTAACTTGGTATGCCAGTTTAAAACCCAGTCATTTTTCCAAACCAAGTCCCATTGTTTGCCAGATATCGAGAGCTTGAACAACAGAGGTTTGAGAATACATAGGACATTTCGCCACGAACTATAAAACTTGCAGTAAGTACAATTTAGTTGACGTACATAGCTTAACCTATGTGAGCAACGAGAGAGCTGATTGTTATCCAGTGACTTGAAGAAGGTAAACTAGCACAATAGCTCGAACCAACTGATGCAATCCCTAGACCACACCCAATCTCCGGGCTTGTGGTATCCCAAAAAATCGAACAAAAACCCGTAGTCTTACCCAAAGCATAGGGAAATTCAGGGGAAAAACCACAGACCAATTGGAATGTAGATGATCCCCTCATAACCACTGGTAAATCGAGGAAAGATATATTTCCTCACGAAAATTTGAAACTTAAGGGTTTTTCCTCATTTTCCCAAACATTTAAGTGCAGCCTCCTCAAAAATTTTCCCCAGAATGAGGAGGTTGGCGACCTATAGTGGTTATGTCGGTGATAAGTAGCCTCACACTGGGATTCGTGGTAGACTATTACTAAAGCAACTTACATTTTGGAAAGACACAACAAAAAGTGTTTTCATGCCATTGTCCATCAGCGGGAGGAAATAAACGGTCATCCAAAAGACGAACACCACGATAGCATCCTGAGTCGCCAGACCTGTACTTAAGTCCCGTGCAGTCTGGAAACTGAGCGGTTAATGTTGATAGTAAAAGAGTGTCATCGTCTTCCAGAGGCACTTCGATTGGTTGGTCATCCTCGGTTTCACAAATCTTAACATATCTTGTTAGCTGCATCCTCACCGTAACCGAAAGTGAAACGCGCGTAGAACGATAGAACGACGGGATATCCAATGATCAATATCTTGGTGGTGGATTTTATAAACCGGTTGATTTTTTCGCTTGCCTCTTTGGTAATGAAACAGTAAAGTTCATTTGATAATCAGTTTTGACTTTCATCTTTGTTAACTAATGTTCCGTACTCAACACCGCTTAGAGCGATCTTCTTACATTCACTAAGCCAAGGTAAACCACCATACAATTAGAAATCAGGTCATATTGTGCCAGTTTTCGAAGGAGATCGACGCAGTCAAACTTCAAGCTACGAGCCGGTAGAACTTTTCTCAATATCCTTAAAAATTATGGAGTTCCTGATATACGAAGATTATCAGCAACAACCTACTGTGTAAGAGAACAAACCAGATCCCAGTGAAGGAAGAAATCAGGAAGAAGCGCTGGAAGTGGATAGGACACACATTGAGGAAAGCACCCAAATGCGTCACATGGCAAGCCCTCACATGGAATCCTCAAGGCCAAAGGAGAAGAGGAAGACCAAATAACACATTACGCCGAGAATTGGAGATACACATGAGAAAAATGAACAAGAATTGGATGGAACTAGAAAAGAAGGCCCAGGACAGAGTGGATTGGAGAATGCTGGTCAGCGGCCTATGCTCCATTGGGAGTAACAGGAGTAAGTAAGTAAGTACGTAAGTAAGATATACGAAGTTGTGAGCGACTACGTACCTTCTATTTATTTCTTTTCAACTCAACAGCACGGTTTCAGAAAAGGTCACTCTTGTATAACCAACCTGCTGACGGCGGTGGACAGATACACAACCATTCTTGATCGCAAGAGGAAGGTCGATGTCATATACCTTGACTTCTCAAAATCTTTTGATAGGGTCAATCATATATAGAGCAATCAGTCCTTTTGATAAGTTTCGATGGCGTAATAAGAAGACAAAGATTATCAATACATTTCGAACAATCTGATCACAGATATGCTTGGTAAGAACATATATATATAAATAAAAACTCAGCTAGACTAGAAATGTAGGGTAAGAGGAGACGAGGATAATAAAGAAATAATGAGAAAACAATTTGAAACCTCATCATCTTGGATAATAGACTCATATTACAGAATAATGTTTAAGGTGAGCACAAACTGTTTTTGGATACACATGTAGCGGTAAATAAATCCCCAAACTAAATAGCTCTGTAAGTTTTCGACATTGGATGCTGACCATATGTTTTACTGGACTCATCTAGCTGAAGGCGCTCGGTCAGGCATCCGCACCAGATCACGTGTGATGACGCCGTGCTCAACATCAACCGCAATCGCTAGCCAGATTAGATCAGAGAATTCCGATATATTGGTCATCGCCAAATATACTCTTCCGATCTCCTCGACTCTGTCTTTTGATTTCTCTGGGCGGGAACGAAATACATTAGGTGTTACTGGTAGAAGCGTTGTCAAACACTGAATACCTGTGACATCATCACACAGAAGAGCTTTGAATTTTAGTATGGATAAGGCTTCAATAAACCTTAGTATATGCTCTTTTACACTTTTGTACAAAGCCACAAAAGCCGAACTAAGATCACTCTTATTGCCCGTTTTAATTATGTGTTTGGCAATAGGAGATAATGGATGTTTATCCCCTACCTTTATTGGGTCATTTGAAGAAGATATATATCGAAAAAAGAAAAGATCAAAAAGAGAAATAGCTTATTATTGCGGTGAGATCTGAAGGTTGGATAAGTGTTCGCGCAGTAATAGTTCAGAGTGATGCTATGAAAGTCACAAATAATTCCAGGGTATTATCTTATATCGATTTTTGTGTATTATGTATATGTAGTGAAGGTAAAATTAATCTGAAAAGTTCATTTTAGTGTAATGTAAGACAATTTGTTTTTATTTATAGACTTTGGATGTTTAGAAACATAATATTTTTAGGAAGAAAATAAGGGATGAAAAGAATATATAACGTGTCGAGGAACCAATCATAATAATAATAACAATAATAGTCATGATTATGAACATAAGCGGACTTCAGATATTAAGATTAACAGAAACAAAGCAAAATAAAATCAACGAGGAACGTTTCCATGGTTCTACTTTGCTTTTCAGTCAAGTAGACAGATGATGGACTTTGTTTGTATAAGTCATTATTAAACACATTAATATTCAATAGATGACACAATCCACTCTATTGAAAAAATCATACAGGACACTTCTAAACCGGGTTGTGGTGTCACTGCGATGGAGGATTGTAGAATTATGGTCTGCTTCGTTATGAGTACTGCTCTAATAAGACATAATCCTAAAATTGCAGATTTTTCATGATATGACTGCCTAATCTATAATATCTTACGTTGAAGTTATATAATCGTCTACACCAATTTATTGCATCGTAACAATCACCAATACATGATGGAGAACAAGTTTAGGCTAGAGATAAGACAATATATTTATTATGAGTAAAAGGTATAAGGTAACATTCAACAGGGACCACGCCCGCGAGCCATGCCGTCCGATCAACTCGACTTAATTCATTGTTCCCGCCTTTCCCATCGTTAGGTATTTCTCAGCATTAAATATCGAATATCTATTTTCGCAGTTGTCTCGTGTTCAGCCTTGAGGATCGTGTGGTTATGGCCCAATGCTACTACAGGTTCACTGGTAGTCTGTCCCACATGGTTGAGTAGCGAATAACGAAATAATTCTGGCGTAAGTTTGTGTAGGTTGTGCGATATCATGGCCTACAAAGGGGTGGATGCCGCAGAATAAGAAATAACGTTTATAAGCCGGTAGATAAAGACACGGTTTAATTTGATACGCCTGATCCAGAGAGGTTCTAACTTGAGTTTTTGACATCTTTGGTGATAATTCTTGTTGTTGGAATACATTAAACAGCTTTAGTGAACCTCCTTTGAACAAATTCAATTTTAATCAGGTCACTATGCCTGCAATTACCGTAAACCAAAATACAATATTCAAGAGTGGTTAGCAGACATTTTTTATATAGTAATAATCTCGATTCCATATTAATGAAGTTTATCATTATGATTCCAATGGGCTTTCTAGCTTCAGATACTTGACGAGCAATGTGCTCAGAAGAGTTTAGATTGTTACTATATCTCGAACCCAAGTAACGAGCAGTGTTGAGAGGTTCCAGTATATGTTTGTGTGTAGCCAGATTTAGGTTAGGGCATCAGCGGATGTGAATAAATTCACTTATGTCAACATTCAGTGACAGATTTCATGAAAGTCCGTTCCTACAACTTATTATTTCTTCTTGAATTACTGCTGAAATATAACTTATTTTGGTGGGCGAAGAAAATGAATAGACCACTTTTGGGCCATCAGCAAAAATGAAAGGTTTAAGGTATCAAAAGAGGGAACCTACGTCATTGATGAAAAGGAGAAAGAGAAATGGGTCAATCACACATCCTTGCATAACCCCATTGGTTACATTCACAGGGTTAGAGTAACAGGATCCAAAGCAGACGATTTGGCTACGTTCTGCTAAAAGTGATTTGAGCCAAGACGGGATTCCGTATGTCAACTGAAGAAAGTTTTAGAAAAAGAAGTCTGTGTGAATACAGACTTATCACTGACTGACCAATATCTCTTCTCCGGGTAATTTGCTCAAAAAATTTCAGGTGCGATGTGAAGAGTTAGCGTTTGTCGTAAACCCGCTTTAGGATGGGTCAATCAGGCTAGCCGAAAGTAAAAATGATAGTAGCTGTTTGTGGATGGCTTTTTCCGTAGTTCTTAATAGCATGGATGTTAAATTGATGGATCCATAGTTAGCGACATTACTAAGTGATTTAGGGGTAATAAGAGATATTTTCCATGCAGATGGATAAGTCCGATATTCCACAGATTGGTTGAAAAGTTTTAAACGAAACGACGGAAATTCTCTGCTACCATATTTCACAAATGATGAAGGGATCCCGTCAGGTCCACTGTCATAAGACTTTTTCAGGGCAGCTATGGCCTGCCTGACGCTTGAGGGTATGAAATCAATTTTGGACAGGTGTCTGGATGTCAACATTGGAGACGCATTGATGGAGGTTTCGGCTCCAGTGTTGTAGCATTGTGAGAAATGCTAGCTGAATTGTTCACAAATAGTATCAGGATCGTCAACAATGCTTCTGCTAACTATGAAGAATTTGGTTGTGCGAAGAGAATTTGATTTCACACGGGATTTGAAAAGCCGAAGATTTTATAACTCTGGGCTTTTACTACCTGGGGCTTTATTCTCCATGGCCATCAGATACTTACTTCTAGATCAATCATTTTCGTCGATCATGTTAACTATGCTACAAAGTGCATACACGTAATAATGCTCGTGGTAGCGGTGTTTCAATTTTCTCATTTTTCTCCTAATGGCTTCAAAAGTATTCTTGCCCCTATTAGCGTCTTAAGTTACATGGCCGATAATCGGAGTAATGCAATCAAGGTAATATATCAGGTTGTGGTATAAGTTGGAAAACACAGTGGTGAAATAAGATCCCTATAGTGAGCAGCGAATAATAGTTTCAGTGAACTTCCAGGTTTGTTAATCAAACTGCCTGCTCTGGTACATTGTTGCAGCTTTAGGGTTCAATTTTATGATGTTTAAATAATGAAGAATTCGACTCTATGATCACTCGTAAAAAATCTAATGACTGACGTGCACTGAGATGAAGTATATGGTGATTGTATATCATAAGCCAAGTATATTATTCCTTCCAGTTGGTTTTCGAACCTGGTGCATCCATCCACAAAGTTCTAAAGTTTCAACTAACTTCTTATATAGGCCTGGTACCCAAACCGAACTTCATGTAATATTTGGCTGATTAAAATCATCTCCGATGATTTTAAAAGAATGTGTTCGGCTCGAGGCAATGAAAAATATGTTTGTTGGTAATTAATCAAAGTTAGCATTCGCAAACAAACACATTTTTTTATTACTTACAGAAAAAGGAACTTGACTTTTCGAAGCTTGTACAAATGAAATTATTCCGAAGTCTTCCCATATGACTGAGAGGTTTCTGAACA